CCCACTTGGAGTTGGAGTTGCGCACAGGCCAGAAACAACCATCAGGCGCCGGATCATGAGACCGAAAGACTCACTGCCACAGCAGGAAACGGTTGGGCTCATTTACCGGATCTGGTGCGGTTGTGGACAAAGAAACTATGTCGGAGGAATCGGGAGATTACTCCGGACGCGAATAGCCGAGCATGCAACGGCGGTGAGGAAGAAAGACTCCAACTCCCGAACTCCGGACACGAATGGCCGAGCACGCAGCGGCGGTGAGAAAGAAAGACGCCAACTCCCAGAAGCAAACAGCGGTAGTGAGGAAGAAAGACGCCAACTCCCAGGTTGCAGCTCAATCGACGGGACCCAGCCATATTTTCAAGTTTGACGAGGCCGAAATCCTCGCAAGGGGTGAAAGCCGCGTGAGCCGCGAGCTGCTCAAGTCATTGTTCTCAGGCTCCCAGTCCATCAACAAGTGCAACGATTTGGCGTTCCCATACGGCGTACTGAGACATTGCCAGAGAAAAAGAATCAGTCACGTGGGATGGGCCGGGCCCAGCAACAACTCTGACGACGGCGATCATGATTGTTGCGCAATTACCAAGCCCGCAGCCGACACCGACAAGGAAATTGCGGCAAGTAATGAGCCGAATGCGAAGTGTCGAGCCGTCACCGCACCAATTAAGACCCAAGTGGTGACTACCGGAGTGGATAGTTATAGTACGCAGGCGGATGACCGCTAGGAACTATAAATACCGTGCAACTTTTGTATGTTTCACGCCTATCTGCGCATGACTCAGACTAACCTACCATTACCTATGATTAAGGAATCCCGACGGGATCCGAAACGTCAGGAAAATAAAGCTCTCGTTCCAGTGGTCGCATCTTCTTCTGAACTGCTTCCTGGAACTCGCATATTAACTTCTATTGACTAATCGTCAGGTCGGCCTGTGAGCGCAGTTGCAAGGGTTCATCATAACAAGAATGCCCGGCTGAATAACGATCCAACGAAATCCATCTGAACTCCATACGATGTCGCCACCCCTTTCTGTGGCATCGGTGGTACTTAGGGTAGTTTTTTTTGGCTTCACGACCACGCG